AGCCAAGTGCACAGATGAACAGAGAGGAGAGCCCAGAGCTCCCAAAAGAGACCAAAGTGACAGCTCGGTTTCGGGTTCTCCAGCTCTGCTTCCTTCCCTTCTTGAGTCATGGCTTTCAGATTTCCTGTGATTTTCCCAGTACCTTTCCAGTAAATCTCCCACAAGTCATCACTTTTGGAGCCTTAAACTAGCTTACTCAGGTTTCTAAGGTTTCTAAGAGTTGACCCCATAAAACTCTCGTTTCCCTGGTTACCACCATAGTGCCCGGCAGATTTTAAAAAATGTGTTAAAAGAAGACTAGGAGCTCATCTTCAATCAAATGAACCCAGTTTTCTATTGTTACTGAACGGACAGGTTTCCAATCATGTTTAAAGACTGGAAGCAAAAAAAAAAAAAAAAAAAAGAAAAAAAAAGAATGCCTTTCTTGGACACGGCCTTTCTCCATTGTTCTATCTTGCACGTTTATATAACTGATGACCAGGAGATGCAGGGACTGTAATTGGTTCTTACTCTGCATTTAATCCTTCAGTCTCACATCAAACCCATTTTTCAGTCTGAAAATAAAAACCAGAAAAGCTAAGCTCGTCCAAATAGAAGAACCAATAAAAGGGAGCAGAGGACAAAGAAATCCAAGTCTTGCTCCTGGAAAGGTGGTACATATTAGAATGAAACCTGGATTGCTGTGAAGATAAAATGTAAAAAATACAAGTGAACCTCTGTATTCACTTACACATTAAACAGACTGAAAATCTCTCTGGTTTCATTTGCTTTCCTGCTCTAGAAAGAGAAAACCAACTCTTCTGTCTGATAACACACAGGACAGCCCTCCCACTGTGACAGGTGGCAGTCCTGTTCAAGAGGCAGAGGAGCACGGTCCTTCCCTTTATAAATCAGAAAGCTTGGATAGTAATTTAGTGATTTTCATGCTCACAGCAATCAATATTGGGCAGAAGGGAAAGAAATAGACCAATAGTTTTTTATCCTGTTCTTCAGGCACTAAAATTCCATCGCACCTCCTCAAGAAGCAAAGTATTTTCAAGGCAAAATTCAAACCGAAGAGCCGCTTCATTGAGCTCTTGGGGCCCTTTCTCTAACCTCAGCATCCCATAGGCGAGGGTGGAGCGGAGAGTCGTTGGGCCGAAATGCGTGATATTCCTCCGGTGGAGACTCTCCTCTGTCAGCGCGATGCCCACAATGATGTCATGCTCGTGGATATTCAGAAGAACCTGTAATAGAGTGAAACAAGACACTTGAGTTTAGGGTTGTTCAAAACATTCTTAGATTGGGAGTCTCATTTCACTGGCGAGGTGCAGTTTGCATGCAGCTATGTACACAAGTCTGAAGGGAGCAGCACGGAGAATCTTTACAACACAGACTGTGCCACCAGCACCTACTGACGGCACACGCAGCACCCGGCACCCAGCATTCCCTCGCCCCCACGCAGTCAGCAGTCACCTGGAGTAATCATTCACCTGACAACCACCATACATAAGGTTCCTTTTTTCAGAAGTTCATGTAAGTGAAATTAAAGAGAATATAGTTTGAAACCTGGTATATTTATACATGAGCTCGAAACAGGTATCCCCAGGATCTTTATTTTGAAGGTGTGTAATTTGTTAATAAGCAAGCAAAATCTTCTTTAACTGTCTGGGAGAAAATTTCAGGCACACAGGAGTGCCAGGGCACAGCATAGCCTGAGTTCTCGCCACGCCGTTCGCGTAGGCTGACCAGCCGCTCACCTGCACCTAAGTCTCCTTCCCAAGACAAAATGTTTTGTTCCAAGTCTTGTCGCTAATGTTATACAGCACTTTCAACTTGAAGAAAGCTTTTAAAAGTGCTGACCAGGAAACTTAAAGGGTGGGTCAAAATAAGTAACTATCCTGTTATATTTTTAATCCATGTTTAGGCAAATCCATTGATCTTGGGGAAGACTCACGGAAAAGTTTATCTGTATACAGTAGAAGGGAAGAGTATTTTTTTCTTAACTAGCGTTTTTCAACTTGACTCAGCTACGTCTGTGAAATAATGTTTTGTTCCAGTTAGTTTTCTAAAGCATGGTTAAATAGGAACGATTCAAATAAAAAGTAGTATTAAAATATGTTCTCCAGCTCCCACCTAGTTTCCTCACCTCAGCAGCAGCAGCTGTCACATTTACACAGCACTCCCACAGGCAAGCTACGGGCCCAGTGTACACTGCGGAGCCACTACCTCACTTCACATCCACAGGTGCTATCCTCTCACAGAGGAGGAAGCTAAGGCACACAGGCATCAGCTTATTTGCCAAATATCACACAGCCTGTCAGTGGCAGAGTGGGAGCTGAACAGTTTGGCCCTGGCGTCCGTGCTCTAAACTCATTTGTGGCTTCTGGACATCACTGTCCTAGTTAACCAAGTCTCTCACAATAGCTGTAAGAGACAAAAAGAAATGCAAAGTGTCCTTCTGATTTTATATGCCAAAGAAGATACAGAGAGTGAGTGTTTCCCCCAGTTTCACATGTCCTGTAGCAACAGAAAACGACTCCCTGATAAAAAGGTCAGCTGCCAGGGCCGATAACCTGCAGGAGACTGAGCGCCAAGTCTGTGTGGCCCATGTGTGAACGGAAGACTGAGGGCAGTCAGGCTAACGAGCGGCTCCTGGCTTAAGCACCATGCAGAATCTAAGAAAGGGGAAAGTTGGCACTCGGACGAGTGAGACCCTGATCTTAGGAGGTCAAGGTTTGTTAAAAATGTATTTTTTTTTTCCTAGTAGCAAAACTCCATCATCATAACACAGAAAACAACTGTTTTAATTATGGTTGATTTTATAATCTTAACTCTGATCCACTAAGTCCACATAACACAGTAAGAAGTATTAGCTCAGAAGTCACAAAAGTCAAGTCTCGGTGGCTGCCACCTATAGGCACTTAGTATATGCAGATACCGGACCGAGGAATTCAGATGTCATCTCACTGAAGCGTCAGGCGACACCTGAAGGTGTCCGCCGTCACTGGCTCCACGTGGGACAGAGCTCAGGCAGATCTCACCCAAAGTCTCAGAGTTGTGGGGTCAAAACCCGGTTCCAGACCTAAATGTTTCAAGAGCACACACTTTTGTTGACCGCAGTCTATTGGCTCTATGGCTGCGGTTTTAACTGTCCACAGGCTGGGTTAGTCTGAAAATCCACATATTCACAAACACGGCCCTCTGGAACCATCATCAGTCTGTACCTACCTCCACATCAAAGTTGGTCATGTCGGCCTTCCACTTAAAATAATCTTGAACAGCACCCCCAAAATCTCTTGCAGCCTCATTTGAAGTAAAGCAATGCTTGTCTCCAGCCCTGTTGCATGTGACTCTAAATTTTAGCGTTTCAGAATCAGCTTCTTCTTTTGAGCCTTTATTAGCCTCATCTTTGCAAGACACCAAAGCATCACCTACTAGCGTTGACACCTCTTCTTTGATGGCTGGATTTTCGTAATAGTCTAAGATATGTGAATCTAAGGAATTGTTAGCGAATTCTTTTTTAACACCACTCTCATCTACTTTGTCTCCTTGCCCATTACCAGTCTTCCCTTTACTTGAATTCTGATTTATCTTTTTACGCTTAATTTTTTTTTTCTTGAAACTTGTATTCATTTTCCACACTTTTAAAGAATCTGACCATGGAAGTTTCCCAGCCAACTCTTCGAAATCCTTTAGAACTTCTTCCTGTAAAGGACAAAGAATGAAATCCATTCATTTTAATCATTTCTTTTGCCTGGAGACTACATTAATTGTTATGGTGGGCGTAATGGAGGTGCAGAACAAAAGAATAAAGTAATGCCTGTGAGTAAGAAAATTAAAATCTCACTGAAATCGAAGATACATACAAAGACAAGATGGTAGATCTGAAATTGGGCTGCAAGATTAAATTAGGAGTAATAAACTGCTAGCAGAGCTTACCTCCATAGAGAGGAAGTGGGGAAGAAAGGGAAGGGCAACGGACTGCTCCCTGACTGACTTCCTTTTGAGCTTTATGCTGTGTATACATATTAACTATTTCTTTTTAAGTAAAAGAAATGTACAGGAAAAAACCTCAAGCAGTTGAAGGTATGAGGAAATGCCTTTGTAAACTAAGAGCTCAATGCAAAGACATAAAAGCAGGAAGATGAGGTGAGCCAGAACAGGAGTTTAACTCTTCCAAGAAAAAGTACGGTAAGAATTTTATCACAGGCCCTCCCCAGTGGCGCAGCGGGTTAAAACACAGCACTGAGAAGCTAAAGCCACTTCAGCACAAGTTCGATCCCTGCCCCGGAGATGATCCACATGGCGCTGCAGACCTCTCCTGACCTGCCCACTGCTCCCCTCAGCAGCATACTTGGTCAATCAGTCCTGCTCCCTACTCTCTCTCTAAATACTCTCACCACCCCTGCACCTCTGGCCTGTACCCCAGCTCTGTATGCATAAATAAATCTTAAAAAAAAAAAAAAAAAAAAAGAACTGGATCACATAAAACACTGCTGGAAACAGAGTGTGGAACAATGCAAAGTAAATAACAATGGAAATGTGCAAAAAGGTAAATAAAGACCAGAGTACATGAGCGTCAAGAGATTCTACATGTGTAAGTGGCATCTCAGAAGACATTTTAAACAGTGAAACCATAATAGAAAAATTCTCGAAAATTTCTAAAAAAGCAAATGGCTGTCAATCTCTATAGACTAACATATTCTGACAAATTATTAACAGTGACATAGTCTGGTGGACTTCAAGGAGTCTTAAAAAATCATGTAAGTGCTGAACAAAAATACGGGGGAAAGCAACACATGAAGGGGAAAATATCAGAATGGCCTTGAAATTTCAAGTAGGTGCCCCAAGGCAACCACTAACGCTAGATGACAGCACCATTCACATATTCCTAAAGGAAGCAAAGCATGATGCCAAACTTCATACCCAAACTATTAATTAAATATAAAGATGAAAGACAAATATTCCCAAACTCCTACCATGCAAGAGAGAAAAAGAAAATCTCTGACAGCCAGCAGGTAGTAGACCTATGTTCTACTTTATTGCAGGACTAAAATGAAAACAGGACTACAAAACAGTGTCAATGTTACAAACTGGCATGGAGCTGGAAGAGAAAGGGAAAGCTGGGAAGTAAGCAAGCAAGTCGATAACCTCTACTTTTATAGCTGGAGGGCAAACGCTAGATGGTAAGCTACTAAATAAAATACAAGGGCGTAAGGGCTGACACTAAGCAAAACAGAACTGGGAGGAAAGGAGAAGTTAAATATGTCCACTTTACCAGTGCTTAGTAGTTTTAAAACTGCTGTGTAAACAGTTAAGATCTGACCATGCTGGAGCTGCAAAGTAACAGCTAGAGAACAGTCCAAACTTTCCAAGCTATCAGAGACCACAGGCATATGGAAAGAGCAAAGGAAACAAAGAATATGGAGACATTTGTAAGCAAGATGTATAGCCTGAACTGATGGAGCTAAGACCATCAGTGTCTGGTCAATAAACAGGATAAGCTATCCTAGCAACAGAAAAGGGATGTATATGCCTGTACATAAGCTAGACGCTGTGTCACAGCTGTAGCAAGAGTGGAAAACCCTAGCCCTCGCACAGACTGATTCTGATGGCTCGTCTCCAAGGACGACACTGGTGTGATGGCCAGGAGGGAGAGCAGAACAGCACACGTAATGCTCCGTCTGTGTAAGGGAGTAAAGTATGCATATTTAGAAAACAGCTCTTGAAGGCAGTAGTTGCCACTTCCGGGGGCACTGAATGGCGTGAGAGAGGAGTACGCACTGAGCTTTCACCGAGTATGCTTTTGGTCTTTACAGTCTTGCTGTAAGTTCGTGTATTAACTAGTTTTCAAACTCAGATGGGTTATTAGCCTTTTTAGAAAAAGTCAGGCTAAGACATTCATGCTACTGCATGACTTCTTAAAAATAAGAAAACCCAATAGACTGTTTCAACTAACAGATTTTATGTACGACGTGGGAAAGTGTAATGCAACGAGGAATAAAATCAATGTTCAAGAGAATGAAAGAAGCCTTTGTTTAAAAATTAGGTTTCCTAGAGTACCGTGCAACTGAATGCCAGGTAGTGTGGTGTACTTAACAACTCTTCATCAACAGGAAGTTTCCCCTGCACAGACTATAAGTTTACCTTAATCCCTACTGCCCACCTTTTAGGGTTTCTACAGGTGCCCATGTGTAGTTACTTACAAGGCAACTCTGAAAGGCTGGCTCACACAGAACCACTCCACCATCTCAAATTCACCTACAGACCCAAAAGCCCAAGTAATGCAGCTGCGGGATGGCAAAATGCAAGAATTTCAAAAAGGTATTAATTATGCTCTAGTAAGTTAGCAGTACAAATTTAAAGTGGAGCATGTTGGTCTTGTTTTGCTACATGTCTGTTAACATTTAATGAAGTATAGAACTAGCTGATAACACTGTGAAATACTTAGAAAAATTTTCAGTAGCCTGCCTGTTATTTACTAGTTTCACAGGTGTGATTCAGTTGGCCACAACTATCAGAAATCTATAATAATAGTGTGGAAAGTAACATTTTCAGTTAATATAATTCAATCTATCTTCAGTCTGAATTCTTTTGGATCTGGTTTCATTTTTCTAGGCTGTGGGTTCCTATCATTTCAATAGGTTTTTGAGTTAGGTCTTGGAAATCAACTTGTTGACACAGAGACAAAAAAAAGAATTTAGCATCACACCGTAGCTGTTTTAAAAATATTACTTCTAAGATAGGCAATAAAACTGAAAGAAAAGTTTTCAAGCATTTGGTCTGGAACCCTGACCAAAAACAATGTGGAAAAACACTAAAGGCTTACTGCAGTCTATTTTCAACCTGCAGCTTAAGCAGTGTCTGAATATTTAGGAATCAGATGCTAAATACAAGTTGGAGGCAAAGCTGTTGTCCTAACAACTGAAAGAGTATTCAGATATTACTTTGGCTTTCTTTCAAAAATGAAGTTAGAGAAGAAAGCAGGCAAAAGCAGAATGGTGAGAGAAAGTGTTATTTGTAGATGACACAAACTGTCACTTGCTCTGGTTCACAGTCTGGAACCGCGTCTATTTTGGACCCATATATACCAGCAAAGCTAATCTAAGATACTTCTCTTTTGTAAAGGAGTCAAGCAATTTATTTTACCTCTTATAAATCTGGATGTGCTTCAAAACGATTTTTTAAAAAACTTTTGGGCTAGATTGTCAACAAACCTCTGCATTTTATTCTAAAAGCCTCCCAGCCTTCTTTCCCAAAAGCAGTAGCAATACCAAATGATAAGACAGAATCTGAAAAGCAGAAACACTCTTTGGAGAACGTGGCTGAACTCAGACACCAAGTTAGGGACAGCTTACCTTTGTTTCCTTGAAATGGTAATCTTTAAATTCCTGAACCACCACAAATAAGTTATCGACTGATCGCAGACAGTGAACCTGAGGAGGAACAAAACTATTAAGGAAAAACTTCTGAATCACAGTCAATATTTATATATAAAAACCAGGCACAAAGATTTAAAGCTACTAAAACCTAAAATCTCCCCATCTTCCTCGCCTTCCATCTTTAGGGTTACCCATCAGCTTCCATTCTCCCCCAAAAGGAAGAAAAGCTGGAAAGACAGAAGCTTAACCTATGAGTGGCCAGTATGAGTGGGGAGGAAGGGAGCGAGGCGACACTGCGGTGGGGCTGCCCTGTCTCTCACGCGTGGGCTCCGGGGAGCCGCACACTCTGGGTGAGAGCAGGGCCTGGGCTGGAGCACAGTGACTGCCAGCTGAGGGGCCCTGGACAAATGACTCAATCCAAGTTCAGTAGTTAGCAAGGACAATCCCGTGCGCCGTTCACCCAGTAGGTCCTGCATTGGTGAACTCAAACCACCAAGCATCAAAAATAGCTAGGTGGGGGCCTCCCTGGTGGCACAAGGGGTTGAGGCTCAGCACTGTGAGGTGTCCGCAGCCGCTGCAGCATGAGTTCAATCCCCAGCCAGGGCGCAGCAGACCGCTCCTGTCTTCCCACTGCTCCCCGCAGCAGGGGATTTCAGTGGATCTGCCTTTTCTGTTCCCAACTTTGTCCCTGGTGAACCCTCTCACCCTGTCGCACCTCTGGCCTATACCCCAGCACTTGTATGCATAACTAAGTAAATCTTTAAAAAAAAAAAAGACAAAGCTAGTCAATCCTGTGATGGCTAGGTGTATAATGAACACATACAGACACTGTTCTCCATCACTGGTCCCTAAACAATACAGTATAAGAACTATTACATAATATTTACATTGTACGAGGCATAAGCAATCTTAGTACATGAGAGAATACATGTAGACAATTATAAATACGAGCCCATTTTAGAGGACTTGAGTATTTTGGTATCCAGACAGGTCATGGAACCGACCTCTGCAGACAAAGGGACAAAGTCAAACAGAGCCTATCTTTGCAAAGGTTGTTCGTAACTAAAATACTCCCTAGAAAGTATTTTACCTATTCATCCTACAACATGCCAACACTAAGAGCTTGAGAGATACTGGCTGGGGGGAAAAGAAAAACTCCTGCCCTCACGTTGCTTAGACGCAACACATACCCCAACTGACACAACCTCGCTGTGACTGCAGCGGGATGGGTGTCTGCTGCCCTTCGCTTCTCAGCTTCGGTAACTCGCAATTACTTCTGAGCAAGAAATTCTTTGACAGATTTTTTAAAAAGTTTACCTAGATATGGAAGTTATTAAATTCAGAGATCTGTAACAAATACTCAGGATTTCTTTATTCACCTAGGATATTCGCAGGATTCTTTCTGGTGAATTCATTTCAGGAGGTTTTTGCATCACTTCTAAAAGCATAGCAAACCTGTTCATCAAACTTATGAACCAGCAGCCAATACTTTAACATCACCGGATTTGGAGCAGAGAAAAGAAAAGCAAAAGATTCTAGTGGGGGTCCTTAAACCAAAGACACCGTAAAAGACCCACTTAGAAAACAATTTTAGGCCCTCCCTGGTGACGCAATGGGTTAAGATGCAGCGCTGCAAGCTGGCTGCAGCCCCTTCAGTGCGACCGACCCCTGGCAGGGAGCAGACCCACATGGCGCCGCGGACCTCTCCTGACCCGCCCACCGCCCCCCTCAGCAGTGGACTTCGTGGATCTGCCTGTTCTGTTCCCCACTCTGTCTCTGGTGAAGCCTCTCACTGTTCTTGTACCTCTGGCCTATACCCCAGTTCTGTATGCATAAATAAATAAATCTTTAAAACAGAAAACGATTTAAAATACTGCTTTATTCAAACCTGAGCCAGACTTTCCACTGAAATGTCAAAGTAGATCTTGCCCCGTTCTTTGCTGATTTTGCACGATGATCCCAATTTCTCTCTCACTTCATCTGCAGCTGTTTGCTCAAATCCAGTTGGTACAGTCGCTCCAATAGTAACGTGGAGCTGCTCTGACTCACTCGTGGGACCACTATCTGTCACCTGGACTGAGCTCTGGCTTTCATGAAGGTTCACATCCAGGAACTGGTTAGTGGCTTCTTGCACATCAGACATGTTGGCAGTACTTCCAAATCCCTGGTAGAATCTCTGTAAACGAAGAAGAGACAAAGCTCAGACGCTATCATTTCACACTGCAACTATTGGACGGCTGAAAGGGCAAGGCAGCAGACAGTCAATACACCTGAGCCGCTGCTGATCAGAGATAAAAGGTTTGAATAAACGTGCGCAGAGCACAGCTGTACCATGGAAGAAAAGGAGACAGGTTTCCACAACAGCCATGTTTAGTTTAGGTCACTGATGTTGCCAGGAGCCATTTCACAGTGAACGTGCACAACGCCCAGGCGGGAGCTGCTAGTGCAAACTTCTGCATGTACGCTTACAACCAGCGGTAAAAACAGGGGGCTTTGGAGTATCAGGGAAACATGGGTTTGAATCCGTGCCCCCACAGTAACAGGTTACTAATCCCAATTAAATTCATTCTCCCAGTCCTCAATCCCCTCATCTGCAAAACGGACGTTAATACTTGTCCCTCCCAGAAATGCTGGAAGACGCGAGAACGCCAAACCTCCAGGCCTGTAATTAACTCGCGTTAATAAGCGATCTTCCCGTGGTGTGAACGGTGATTTTACATGTTTAAACACGACTAGCTGAACGCCTACTCCTAACAACTGCGGATCCCTGAATGCCCACTACACGCCAGGCGCTGGGCTCCATGGATGGGCATGGAGGTCGAAACTACCGCAAATCGCCGTTTTGGGGAGCCGGGAGGTGGGCGGCGCTAGAGGCGGGCTCCACCGCTCTCGCCAGATCGGCGGCCCAGCGACTCAGAACAGCCACAGCAGGCGCGGCGCG